CAAAGACAGCCGCGCGGTGTGAGACTCGGAGCGCAGAGGGCCCGCCTCGGGCGCGGCGCGCGGCCAGCGCGGGGAAAGGCTGGCTGGCGGCCCGAGGCGGGGGCACGCGTCCGCGGAGGCGGGGGGGGCAGCTCCTCCTCCTCCTCCTCCGCCTCCTCCTCCTCCTCCGCCTCCTCCGCCTCCTCCTCCTCCGCCTCCCTCCTCCTCCTCCTCCTCCGCCTCCTCCTCCTCCTCCTCCTCCGCCTCCTCCTCCGCCTCTCTCCGCCTCCTCCTCCTCCTCCTCGTCCTCCTCCTCCGCCTCCTCCACCCTCCTCCTCCTCCGCCTCCTCCTCCTCCTCCTCCTTCTCCTCCTCTCCTCCTCCTCCGCCTCCTCCTCCTCCTCCTCCTCCTCCTCCTCCTCCGCCTCCCTCTCCTCCTCCTCCTCCTCCGCCTCCTCCGCCTCCTCCTCCTCCTCGTCCTCCTCCTCCGCCTCCCCACCCTCCTCCTCCTCCGCCTCCTCCTCCTCCTCCTCCTTCTCCTCCTCCTCCTCCTCCTCCGCCTCCTCCTCCTCCTCCTCCTCCTCCGCCTCCTCCTCCTCCGCCTCCTCCTCCTCCGCCTCCTCCTCCTCCTCCTCCGCCTCCTCCTCCTCCGCCTCCTCCTCCGCCTCCGCCTCCGCCTCCGCCTCGGCCCAATCACAAAGGCCTCCCAAATACAGTATTCGACCTGACCCAAGGAACGACAAATATAAGGAACGCAGCCGCTTTTGTCCAAGCAAGTCTACGAAGTCCGAGGGAACACCAGCAGGGCTCGCCGCCAAAGAGGTGGCGGAGCGCACGCAAACCAAAGGAACGACCGAGCCCCTGATGAAAAGCAAGTGTTCCTTGCCCATCGGTCGGAAGAGGTAGGTAGAAACATGACATCGGAAGGCGTTGGAAACAGATTGGGCTTCCGCCCGCCGCCTGAAGAGGAGGGAAGAGGGAAAACCACTCGACCCTTGAAGTAGGAAGGCGCCGAAAGCAGATTGGAATCTGGGAATCCAACAATACCTACTTTCAACGACCGATGGGCATTCAAGCCGGACCCTGTGGGGTCCGAGTAGATGGGGCCCGAGGGCCGCGCCGCACCGCCGACGCATCGGCGATACACATCGACAACGCATCGACGACGCATCGGCGACGCAGAGGCGACGCAGAGGCGACGTCCGCGCGGAGCAGGCCAGGCTCTGCAGTCGGGTTTCATTGGACAGGACACGCGAGAGAACAAGAGACCCCTCCGAGGGCCACATTGCCATAGGAATGCAGGAGGTCGCGAGACACAGGACACAAACGCACCCTTGATCTGGCAGGGTCGACCCACTAATCCGGGTCGACTGTACGTCGTCGCTGCATCACCGATGCATCGCCGATGCGGCGCGATCCTCCGACCCCATCTACTCCGACCTCATCTAGGGGGCCTGGAAATCATGAGCGTGACTTCGTCCGGATTTCGTCCAGATTTTGACCCCCCCGAAGACAGACTCCGCCAGAAATGTTCTATGAACATTTCATGGAAACCACAAAAGGTTCTTAGAACATTGCTTGCTGGGGCTATCGGCGAGCCAGGACGCTTCGCCACTGCTTGATCACGAATTCGTCCAAATGTCGCCCACATTCCGCCCAGATGCCGACCAGGTCCCACGAGAGGCGGACGAAATATCCCCCAGACCGCACGGGAGCCCACGTGGACCCCCGCGACCCCTTCCCGGGGGGGCTCCGGGCAATACACCACCACCAGCCTCGGGTCGGGCACGTCCCCCCACAGGCGAATTTTTTGGACAGCAAATCAAAAATAGCCCCCATAAAAAAATTAGCCTGGCGAAAGACCCAACCGTACGCAGTTGTGACTACCGCAATTGTGAATAACATCTTTGCCTGCGCTCCCGATGTGGCCACAACTGCCCGCCGGAGCCCGACATGCTCAGGGACACGTTCGTGGCCGTCTTGGCGGGCGCCGACGACGACGAGGACGGCGCCCCCCTGACCGAGGAGCAGAAGCAGGAGAGGGCTCTAAGAGCCATGAGGGAGGCTGCCACTGGGGCCTTCGGTGGAGCTCCTATGGGGCCACGATCCTCGTGAGGGGTGTGCCGAAATGGCCCGAGGCCGCCATGCGAACGCAGCCACTGGAGCCTTCGGTGGAGCTCCTATGGGGCCACGATCCTCGTGAGGGGTGTGCCGAAATGGCCCGAGCCGCCATGCGAACCCTGCCACTGGCGCCTTCGGTGGAGCTCCCTATGGGGCCACGATCTTCGTGAGGGGTGTGCCGAAATGGCCCGAGGCCGCCATACGAACCGTGGCACTGGCGCCTTCGGTGGAGGCCACGATCCTCGTGAGGGGTGTGCCGAAATGGCCCGAGGCCGCCATGCGAACGCTGCCACTGGAGCCTTCGGTGGAGCTCCTATGGGGCCACGATCCTCGTGAGGGGTGTGCCGAAATGGCCCGAGCCGCCATGCGAACCTGCCACTGGCGCCTTCGGTGGAGCTCCGTATGGGGCCACGATCTTCGTGAGGGGTGTGCCGAAATGGCCCGAGGCCGCCATGCGAACCCTGCCGCTGGCACCTTCGGTGGCCTTCGGTGGAGCTCCGCTTAGGGGGGCCACGATCCTCGTGAGGGGTGTGCCGAAATGGCCCGAGGCCGCCATGCGAACGCTGCCACTGGGGCCTTCGGTGGAGCTCCTATGGGGCCACGATCCGTGCGGAGGAGGGCCGAAATTGCCCGAGGCCGCCATGCGAACGCAGCCACTGGAGCCTTCGGTGGAGCTCCTATGGGGCCACGATCCTCGTGAGGGGTGTGCCAAAATGGCCCGAGCCGCCATGCGAACCCGCCACTGGCGCCTTCGGTGGAGCTCCGTATGGGGCCACGATCTTCGTGAGGGGTGTGCCGAAATGGCCCGAGGCCGCCATGCGACCCCTGCCACTGGCGCCTTCGGTGGAGGCCACGATCCTCGTGAGGGGTGTGCCGAAATGGCCCGAGGCCGCCATGCGAACGCTGCCAATTGGGCCTTCGGTGAAGCTCCCTATGGGGCCACGATCCTCGTGAGGGGTGTGCCGAAATGGCCCGAGGCCGCCATGCGAACGCAGCCGCTGGAGCCTTCGGTGGAGCTCCCTATGGGGCCACGAAATGCTGCACTGGGTGTGCCGAAATGGCCCGAGGCCACCATGCGAACGCAGCCACTGGAGCCTTCGGTGGAGCTCCCTATGGGGCCACGATCCTCGTGAGGGGTGTGCCGAAATGGCCCGAGGCCACCATGCAAACGCAGCCACTGGAGCCTTCGGTGGAGCTCCCTATGGAGCCACGATCCTCGTGAGAGGTGTGCCGAAATGGCCCGAGGCCGCCATGCGAACGCTGCCACTGGCGCCTTCGGTGGAGCTCCCTATGGGGCCACGATCCTCGTGAGGGGTGTGCCGAAATGGCCCGAGGCCACCATGCGAACGCAGCCACTGGAGCCTTCCGTGGAGCTCCCTATGGGGCCACGATCCTCGTGAGGGGTGTGCCGAAATGGCCCGAGGCCACCATGCGAACGCAGCCACTGGAGCCTTCGGTGGAGCTCCCTATGGGGCCACGAAACGCCGTACTGGGTGTGCCGAAATGGCCCGAGGCCGCCATGCGAACGCAGCCACTGGAGCCTTCGGTGGAGCTCCCTATGGGGCCACGATCCTCGTGAGGGGTGTGCCGAAATGGCCCGAGGCCACCATGCGAACGCAGCCACTGGAGCCTTCGGTGGAGCTCCCTATGGGGCCACGAAACGCTGTACTGGGTGGGTGAAACGCAGGGGGGAGAGGGGAGGAGGGGGAGGAGGGGGAGGAGGAGAGGAGAGGAGTGACGCGGGGCACCGTCTCTTCAAAACGAGGACCCAACACCACAGGATGGTTGGGAAAAATTTAAAAATGGTGAACAAATACTCGAAAAATCGTCCCCAGACTGTTGTAATATGTTTGAGCATTAGAGGGACGTGCCCGGCTCGACACCAGCCCTGGCCAGGCTCGGGCCCCTCCCGGGCCCTGGGCAGGCGCACAGGCCCTCCCTGGCCTCGGCCCAGGGGGTCTGTATGCACGGGTCCAGGGCCCACAGGATGGACCTGGCCAGGGCTGGTGGCAGCACTGGCGCCCCCCCGACGATCACGAGCGTGACCTCGTCTGGACTTCGTCCAGGTTGACCACCCCTCTGAATTTGGAGGATCCTTCTAAAAAACCTTCCCAGAACATTCCTCGGGAAGGTTTCAAGAGGGTTTCCTCCCAAAAGCCTGCCTAGAACGTCCCTCAAGAAGGTTTCAGGAAGAGTCGGCCGAACTGCCCCACCCAACTGCAACCATCCGCGCACCTGTCGCGCAACTCGTAAAGCCTGGAAAAGGAACTGAAAGCAAGGGGGAGAGGCCAAATTGAAAAAGTCACTGCCCTCCATCTATGGAGCGATTGGGGGCTTCTGCAACGAATGCTCACAGCGCAAAGGCGAGATCCCCATTTTGAAAAGGCACCTTCCCCTATATGTGCACCTCTGTGCAACTATGCGGACGTCTGAGGCGAAAAAACAGGCCGCCTTGCCGAGTGGCGCGGCGAGGAGAGACCAAGATGTAAGGAAAACAAGGAGGAATGGGCAGAGGGGGGAGTGA